TTGCCTTCCTAAATCTGAGTCTCTTTAGGTTTTTTGGGGGTTTGTCTTTATGGCATCAAATAAGGAAACATATTTTCTTTCAGCAAGACACTAAAGTCCTAGTGTAAAAAATAATGTGTAAATATATGTAGGCAAGATATCTGTGTATGTCAGGGGTGTCAAACTGCCGGCCCATGGGTCGGATGCGTCATGCTGAAAACACGCCCACCCCATTGCCGGCAATGGAAAAAAAGTCATGACATGTCACGTGACATTGCGAGTTTGACACCCCTGGTGTATGTGCACAAATATCTTGACAGCCAATCTAGTGGTTAAGGCACCAGGTACCAGAAAGCATGAGTTCAGGTCATACCTTAGCCATGAAAGTCAGCTGGGTGACTTTGGATCAGTTATTCTTAGTCAAACCCATCTGACAGGGTTGTTGTGGGGAACCAGGAGGAAGAAGGTATATTGGATATGTTCACTGCCTTGAGTTATTTGCAAAATAAGGCAGAATACAAATAAATAAATGAATAAAAATAAGGAACTAAAACACAATATAATTATTTTAAATGACTGTTAAACTTTTCTGCTAACAGAGCTCTTTCAATGATTGGTATAAGTTTTGTTAAGAACAACATATCCGGAGGATCTAGTCCACGACTCGGCGGAAAATCAGGCGGCGGCCTGGGAGACAACTGCCGCCGCAGCATTGGACCGAGTCGTGCCTTTGCGGCCTCTGACCCGACGTGGATCTCGACCATCTCCTTGGTTTACCGAGGGGCTGAGAGAGATGAAACGTCGGAAAAGACGCCTAGAGAGCAGTTGGAGGGCCAGNTACAAAAGATGAGGGAGTAGGGGGTTAGTGTGTGAAATGTACTCGGGAAAGCTTTTGGCAGATTTTTTGATTGTAAGATCACAGAGGTTACAGTGAATAAAATTTGTGAAGTGGTGCAATTCTATGCTGGGAAGGAGAGGTGCAGATCAGATTTTACACTTCAGGAAATAATGGAGAATTATATGAAAGTGATAAAATAATCTTACAACTTGTTTGCTAATTTAGAGCAGCCGCAGAATAAATTGGATATGCCTGACGTACAAAACATTTGCACCAATATGGAGTTAAAGGTCAGATTGTTCAGCGTAATAAGTGTGACGTATAAGAAATAAAGCGTGAGAATCAATGGTATGCTTAGCAAATGATTCAACAATGGCAAGGAAGCAAAGCGAAGATCTGTTAGTTCCCTTAGCCGTTAAATGTACAAGGAATGCTTGTGGTAATTGGGACATGAATATGTGTATCCTTTTTTTGCAGATAATGTTATGTTGCTGCCTAAGAACCAAATCATTTACAGCAGAGGTCCCCAACCTGTGGGCCACAGCCCACTACTGGGCCGTGGCCGCTTAGCCACCAGACTGCATGAAGGGATGCACCCCCACACTTGCGCTAACACTGCCGTTAGCGCTGCCCCACCTCAGAGCATCCCACCGGCACTAGCGGTGCTCCGAGCATCCCGCCGATGCTAGCGGTGCCCCGCCCTCGAGCGTCCCATCGGTACTAGTGCTGCCCATAGCATCCCGCTGGCACAGCACCGCCCCATTTGCAGCACTTGCGCCTGCGCAGCCCTGTTTGCACATGCACATGGCCATTTGCATGTGTGCATGCGCAGCCCATTGGTGTGTGCGCACAGGTTATTTTTGCATGCGCATGGCCCATTTGCATGCACCATGTAGTGGTACCTGCCTCCCTTCCGGGCCAACAAACCAAAAAGGTTGGAGACATCTGATTTACAGTGAATGTTTGATGGCACTCTGAAACAATATGGATCTCAATATTTCATTTACATCCCACTTCAACCTTGCAGTTCTCAGCAGTTCTACATTTATTTTATTTTATTTAAAACTTTTCTATAGCAGCCCATATGATGGCTGGACACCATCAAAGCTGACACCAACCAGATCATAGTAAAACTCAAAGAAGTAATGCAAGATTGGAAGATGTGGAAAGACCTGGCCCATGGAATCACCAAAAGTAGGACACAACTGAATGGATAACATCATCATCATCATCATCATCATCATCATCATCATCATCAAGAAGCCTTCCCTGGACCCAGACGAGTTGGCCAATTATCGCCCGGTCTCCAACCTTCGCTTTGCGGCGAAGGTTGTTGAGAGTGTGGTTGCGCAGCAATTCCCTCGCCACCTGGATGAAACAGACTATCTAGACCCATACCAGTCGGGCTTCAGGCCGGGACACAGCACGGAAACGGCATTGGTCACGTTGGTCAATGATCTCTGGAGGGCCCGGGACAGGGGTTATTCCTCTGTCCTTGTTCTTTTGGACCTCTAAGCGGCTTTTGATACCGTGGACCACAGTATCATGCTGCGGCGTCTCGGTGAGTTAGGAGTGGGAGGCACTGTTATGCAGTGGTTCTCCTCCTTCCTCACCGACCGTACGCAGTCTGTATTGGCAGGGGGACAGAGGTCGACCCCTAGGCCCCTAACTTGTGGGGTGCCTCAGGGGTCGGTCCTCTCTCCCCTACTGTTCAATATTTATGTGAAGCCGCTGGGAGAGATCATTCGGGGCTTTGGGGTGGAGTTCCATCAGTACGCTGATGATACTCAGTTGTACATCTCCACCCCAGGTCACCCCAACGATGCCCTTGACGTGATGGCCCGTTGCCTGGAGG